TGCAAGCAGCGCGAAAGTGTATGCGCGGGATCCCCGTCTGCCCTCGATCATGGATCGAATGCAAACATTCAGGATCGCAAATCGTGCGAGCCTCGCATTCGCCAAGCCTCAAATGACGCATGCACCGCTCAAGTTCATGGCTCGTGCGGCATGAAGCCCTTTGAGCATTGCGCCCGCATGTTTCCAGCGTGCGGCGGCTTTGTGGCTTGTCCTGGGCAGCAGCCATACCAGGCAGCTAAAACTGTCCAGAATGCAGGACCCATCATGAGGCTTCCTGTTCTTTGCCATTCTCCAAATGAGGGCCTTGCACCGTCTAAGCTTTGCTGCACGACTTGTGCTGCTTCTTCGATCTCGTCCTGAAACACGTCAAGGAGCATGTTGGCTTTCGCAATGCGCTCTCCTGTGTCCTCTACTGTGCATCAAAATAGCTGCAACTCGATGAAAAGTATCTGTTTGTCGGCTGGCTATGCTTTTTCAGTGAATGGTGTAGTTGAGGCATAGCGGTGCGTGAGATGCAAGGTGCCTCCATATTATCCATCGAAACAAGTCGAGTGGTGAATCGCTGCAAACAATGGGATTTTTCACCAGCAGCGTCCTGTGCAAGGGTTGCTTCCGCTGTAGGTTGTGCTTGGGTCGCTGAACGTCTCCAAATCTCCCTGAATCCTAGCAGCTTGCTGAGATCAGTGCAAGAGTGCCAGCTGAGGGATGAGCCTTGCCGTGGGGCTTCTGGAAGCAGCAAAGCTGTCAGAGGAGGTCGTAGCAAAGAAACTGAGCAATGCAGGACACTCCTAGCGTTCCTCACTGCATTCAGTCGTGCCTCCGTGGAAACTACCCTTGGCAAACTTCAGCCGCAAGCAATAAATGTACCTGCGGAGGCTGCGGCAAGCATGCAAACTTACTTGCTTTTGGCCTCAGAACTAGGCAAAGGAAAAGCCGAAAGGGAACAGGGCTTCCCATGGCAAGACTGTCCGTGAGCGCAAGAAGGATATTGCATCGCAGCTGGAAAGCATCAAAACGTGGCAGCCACCCACGACAAAGCATAGGCAACACCAAGTGCCACGAAACAGGTGAGTCGCACACCCAGAGTGCACCAACAGCTTGGGACACAGTCTCGTGCCTGCCAACTGGAAGCAAGCCGAGAGCGACCGAGGTATCGCGCGGCTAAGCTAACAATAGCACACTTGACACGTGAGCTGAGTATCTTTTGAGAAGGTAATGCCATTGACGTATCAGCCGCCACTGGCGCCTACGCCATGTGCAAATTCAAATATGCGGCACGGCCTCGAGATATGTCAGCCTTGAAACGCCTACGCGTGCCAAAGCGCCACGCCTTTAGGCACACTGTCAAGTCGAGCCTAGAGCAGCTGCCCAGCCGACTGCCAGAAAGTGGGGGGACTACCGCAAAAAAACAAAATAACTCCGACGCGCGGGTTGCACACAGCCGACTGTAGCTCTGGCAATTTGAAGGGAACGCAGAAACTTACGATGTGCGGACGGCCGCGAGGCCAACAAGCTGGGGTTACAGTAGAATTGACAGTCCCACAATTCTCACAAGCATACAGCAGTATCTACAGGATCTGTCAGCTGGACACACGAGAGGGCATTGCCTGGCAGGTGAGCGCCAAGACACGTAGAGCAGGCCCGCTGGATCAGTCCAAAGCGTTTAGCGCGCTGTATAGAAGGGCCAAATTGTGAGAACTGGGAAGCTGCGAAGTCCAACCCAACCATTGTTGACTACACATCAAAAGAAGAGCTGACAAGCGTAGTCTTGAAGTCTGGCAAAATGACGCTCCTCGCATTTATTCAAACGTCCGCGCTCTTGCAAGTTGCCTCTAGAGCCAGAAATTGGAGCCCATCGCAATGCCTTTTTTGAGTCCCTTTCCCAAGCAAAGGCGCATATTCTGCTCCTGGCTGCAGCTCAGTGTCCATAAAGAGTGCAGCTCCCTGCTACACTGAGCCTCGGGGGACGTGGTACAAAATGCCAATGGCATGAAAAGGAAACACCAAGAATTGAGCCAGCATGGAGCTGTCCAAATCCTGCCAGCTTGCAACATGCCGCCATGACAGCGCATTGGTCAGTCACGGTGTAAGAGAAAATCAAGCATGCGCCTCACAAAGAACCAAGTCTTCAAGCACAATCTGGCGGGTGGTGAGGGGCAAAAACAGAATGGCAAAGGCAAACGCAAGCAACAGTTCACACGGATGGCAACCCTGCCAGTCGTACGGCGTGTGTGGTCGAATTCGCCCCCGCACAGGACAAAGCGAGCAACAGTGCAGCTGCCGCGAGCAAAGCATGCGGGTACCTGGCAAAGTGGAAAGAAAGACGCCTCTTTGCAAACAGCAGAGCCTGTAGTGCAGTGCTGGGTCTGCCAACGACAGCTGCAGCCTTCGGAACAGCTGACATGGCCATTGTCTGCTTGAACCTTTCGAAATACAAGATACCAGTTTTCGCCCAACTGTTTGCTCAGGATCCCTGCAAGAACTCTGCCAGGCTTTGGCACTCAACAGGCCTTGCCATACACAATCAAATCAGTACACAGCACTCTACATGCGACGGGCAGTAGGGCTTCGGCTTGCTCTTGAGTCTGACGCTTAAGGCCTCAGGCGGCAGTGACTCTTCGTTGGTCAGCTTGGCGACCAAGCAAGGCAACTCCGTGCCTGAAGAAAATCTCGTGGGGTAGGCGTGCCCACATCAAACCTGTTCACATGGAATGTGTGTGTGTGAGAGGTTCCTCCTACAATTAGGTCAGCAGCTCAACGACTCAATCCGCTTGCACTGTCGATTGCCTGAGCTTCCGGAGTATGCCCAGTTCGGCAGCTGTAACATCTTCAAAGGGTACCTGCGCTGACCCAAAGGCAAAAGCCTCATGATCAAAGGTGTTCAAACCACTGGTCTTGAAACACGATAAGTCATAATTGGAGCACTTCATCATGACCCAGGTGCGTCACTACCTGCAATCAGCACATGAGCACTTGCCGGCGTTTCGAACAAAGCCGAGCCTGCCGAAGTGGCACTTGATTGTCGGCGGTCGACCCTGTCTTGATTGCCATGCAAACCTCACAGGCAGTCGGGCCACAGGCCAAAGGTCACCAAAGGTCCATAGGTGCCGGACTGCAGCTAGCAGAGTTCGCTGCGACTCCTCTATCGTCTGGTCCTGACAGAGTCATCGCAAACTCCATCGTTAGTTCCAGGCGACACGGGCGGCACGGGTATCGCACCTCTTTTGGCAGGCCAGCATAGTAACGGTCAAGTAGCAAAGCCTTGTGTGCAGCTCTCTTTGAAACAAACGCGCACCGAAGCATAGCCTCGGGATGCACAAACTAATGACTTGCAGCATGAGGCCAGGAAGCTGTATCAAAAAAGAAGCCCTCGGGGAAGTTCATAACATCGAAGGCCTTGCAGTTCAAGCAATGAAATGCGTGTTTGAGAAAATGCACATGCATGAGCTTGGATTCCAAACCATTCACGAAAAGATTGAAGCTCTGAGGGGACAAAGTGTGGTTTGCATTGCAGTCGATGTTTCAAACTGGGCTCACTGGATTTGTGAGCTCAAAGCCTGCGCCATCCAGGTCAGCGTCTCTTGCCGGTCAGCCTGAGGCCATCCTGGCCGTCAGGCGAGCCAAAGCACGGCCAAGACAAGGACTGTGCAACTTGAACATGGTTGAAAGTCCATCAGATCGACTCGCAGGTGCCTTCAAGCAGCTGCCTTGCGCAAGGATTGTGCTTCTGGGAAGTCTGATGCAAGCTCCTCGAAAGGCGTCAGGGAGCAGGGAGTGCACGCAGCCTCGCTCGCGGCTGCGAGGAGCCCATTGTCCTGCATGCAGAGTCGGCGAGGTCGGCCAAGCTTGCCTGGACTCGATCCTGGCTCAAGAGCAATCGCGCAAAGTGTCAACTGTAAACGACCTCTGGCAATGACGCAGTGTGCTGGGAGGCAAAGAATCTCGACAGCGCCGACCTTGGCTGAAATGCCGTTGCAGCTTTTCACACAGCGTCTGTATGGCCTAACCATCCCAAACCCTAAGAGACTCCGTTGCACTATGGATGTTGCGTACTGTTTGCCTATCGTCGCCAAGTGACGTTTGTCAAGCAGTGTGTAACAAATCATTCTCTGCACCGACTGAATGCCCGGACTTTGCATGCAACGAAGCAAGCAGCCTATGGATCAAGTCTCCCGCTGTCTCGGAGCGTCACCAGCAAAGCCTGCCTCAAGCCAAGAGGGGAAGGGTGCGAACATGTATCATAATATCAAGGTGTGTCAGGACATGTGCAAATGGCATGCAAATAACCATGCATGTGATGACAATGCGAGCATGCAAGTAAGCAGGCTGTGAACATGTACGCAAGCAATTGCAGAACATGTACTGTAACCAATTTACAAATCCGTTGCTGGCAGCTGATGCTTCACAACACTGCATACCATTGACAGAGATTCCTCGGCCGACATTATTCAAATCTGCATTGGCAACTCTGCCGTAGAAGCTTCTCGGCATTGTCGGCACTGTGGTCTATCTCCGGGTCCGTAGCAACATGAATTGGGGGCAATTCAAGGTGCCAATGCTTGTGCTCAAACATACGGGTAGATTGATCACTTAGCATGCTTGCTTTGAGAGCGCGAGCAGCCAGCTATTGAGTTACCAAAAAGATCAAGTGAATCTGAGCAACCAAATATGATGGGAAAACCATGACAGGGAACAGGGTGATCCTCTAGCCTTGGAACAATCTATTCTCAAACGTTTATATGCATTCACATTGATGACGCGCCGTGCGAGCCATCCAGCAGCTACTCCAAAACCACAGCCGTTGGGCAGCCAGTATTCCGCGATTTAGCGCCCATGGAGATACATATCGCCAGTACACTTGCTCAAACCTCCTCGTGAGCTTGCACGCGCATAAAATCCGCTCAAGCTGCCTCCTTCTTTGGAGATGCATTGGGCTTGGCCTCACCGGGCACAAAGCGGTCACTCTATAGCTTCCCTTTCCACAGTCTGAGGCTGAATCCCTGAGCACTGAGTGTCTCGGAGAGCGACTGCAGATTGTCATCTCCTGAACCTTTGCGCGTGCATTGTCATTGAACTCTTTGGATTTGCCACGCAATGCCCCATCCTCGACAATTGGCAGCATGCAAGAGCCAAGAGACTTCCGAGACCTGGTAATTATTTGGTAATTGTATTGTAATTCTGGTAAGACCGCTGGTATGTTGGTTGGCAGCAACCAACCGTTTGCCGCTTTGCCTGGTGGCGTGACTGCTCCTGAGCAACAATGGCGTGATCTGCTGATGTTTAACACTCGATCCTGCATGGGTGTCGCATGCTGAACCCTCTTCGCTCAATCAGGACTGCAGCTGCATACGGCATACATGCAATTCGAGTCTTCCATCTTTGTGTGCAAATTGAAGAAGGGTCCAAAAAAGCCTAAGGCGTAGAGTTGTTAGCATGTTTTCCCAAAGATCAGGATGTATCCAGATCAGAAGCAGCCGTGCGCACAGGAACGCTTGCCCCAGCTCCAACATGGGTCTGAGAGCGAGCAGCCGACGACATTCCATGCAACCAGGTGTTGTCACAAGGATACAACAAGCGTGGGCTTATCAAGGTCGTCTAGATTCGACTAGCATGTCAAGCGCCATTCAAAATCAATGCAAGAACAAAAATGCGGATGCGTCCATTCACCACTTTCACGCCAGTGGTGCAAAATGTAGCTTACGGTTCAGCTGTGCTCCTTCCCTAGCTGCAAAAGTCTGGAGGGGATATCAATCTATCAAATAGGGGACCCCAAAATGGCGGTTGTCCCTTTGGTTTCCCTTCAAACCGACCTAAAAAGGGTTCCGACTCGGAAAACCCAGCAACACCCATTAAGCGTGGGTACCCCTTTTGCAGCACCAAGTTTGGACAATGAATGTCTTGACTCCTTAAACCGACTGTTGCTTTTTGGCTGTCACTTATGATGATTGATTTTCACTTGCCTCACTTCACTCTCTCCTGCTTGGCTCACTTCCACCAATCAACCCCTGCTGCACACCTTATCTTTTTTGGCATGGAATGCGCAAACAGAAGAGGACATGACATATCTTTGCCACCTACCCCGAACCCCAGCCCTCAAGTGTTCAGGATGAGCAATACCTTGCGACGATGCAAGGGCCGTGCTGATTGCATTCAGGATGCAAATACCACAAACGGTTGAAGTGCGCCAGAATGCCAGAATGACAAAAAGCACAATCGCGCCCCCGACAGAGTAGATCTGTGCCCTGGCAGTCGCTAGTTCAAGCTGCCCTCTTGCAGTTGGAGCCAAACAAAAACGACAGAGGCAGGCTGGTAGCATCAGGAACATGCGGTCCATATCTGTAACTTTGCGGGTGAGCATCAAGCCATGCCAGGACTGCTTATTGCTTGTCTTCAACAGTGTGCCCATTCCCTTCGTCACAACATCCATGCGCTCCAACTGGCAAGGTGAGAAGCCGTCGTCGATAGAGCGGACGTGTCCATTGCATCTGCATGATGCTAAAGAATGCCACAATACACCTCCTTCTCGATGTCTTGGTTCAGCCTTGATAGGCAGAGGGCTCTCACTACATCCTGAGTCTAGGCCACTTCCGAGCTCAGTACTCATCAAGAAGCTTCGCTTGACCTGACAACACCAAAGCAAGCATCCACGAATACGCTGCCCGAACTTGAGCATCGGGCTTTCCAACTCGCCGTTGATTGTGTGAGCAACCTGTCCCAGTCTCTGTGCGCCCTTTTCCAGCACCTCAAGTTCATCCTTCCAGGGAGAAATGGAATAGCGTCGCATTGCTCTAAGACACAAGCCAAGGTCCATTGCCGTGAACTCTCACAGACTCAATCACAAAAACAACTGCACCTGCTTGTGACATTGAGATGCTTGAGACTGAGAGAGAGGACAGTACACAGTACATCCAAAAGGACACAGTACCACGCAGTTTCTCCTCTTGCTGCGCCAGGAGCTGCCTCTGCAACAGCCGCTGCTCCTCCAAGAAGGCTTTGCTTTCTTGGGCGATTTGCCTGGCAGTCATTGCAATCCATTCAATTGGGGCATGGCGGACATAGACCTAACCGGGCCTCTGCTGGGTCTCTTCGGCTTGCTTTTGTCGCTTGAGAAGCATCTGCTTCTTGTCCTCAAGCACAGAGCGCACAAAGTGCACAAAGTGCACACAGTGCACAAAGTGCACAAAGTGCACAAAGTGCAGAAAATGCACAAAGTGCACAAAGTGCACAAAGCGCACAAAGTGCACAAAGTGCACAAAGTGCACAAAGTGCACAAAGCGCACAAAGTGCACAAAGTGCACAAAGTGCACAAAGCGCACAAAGTGCACAAGTGCACAAAGCGCACAAAGTGCACACAGTGCACAAAGTGCACAAAGCGCACAAAGTGCACAAAGAGCACAAAGTGCACAAAGTGCACAAAGCGCACAAAGTGCACAAAGCGCACAAAGTGCACAAAGCGCACAAAGCGCACAAAGCGCACAAAGTGCACAAAGTGCACAAAGCGCACAAAGTGCACAAAGCGCACAAAGTGCACAAAGTGCACAAAGTGCACAAAGTGCACAAAGCGCACAAAGTGCACAAAGTGCACAAAGTGCACAAAGTGCACAAAGCGCACAAAGAGCACAAAGTGCACAAAGCGCACAAAGTGCACAAAGCGCACAAAGTGCACAAAGTGCACAAAGCGCACAAAGTGCACAAAGCGCACAAAGCGCACAAAGTGCACAAAGTGCACAAAGTGCACAAAGCGCACAAAGTGCACAAAGCGCACAAAGCGCACAAAGCGCACAAAGCGCACAAAGTGCACAAAGTGCACAAAGTGCACAAAGTGCACAAAGCGCACAAAGTGCACAAACAAAGTGCACAAAGCGCACAAAGCGCACAAAGTGCACAAAGTGCACAAAGTCGCACAAAGCGCACAAAGTGCACAAAGCGCACAAAGCGCACAAAGCGCACAAAGCGCACAAAGTGCACAAAGTGCACAAAGCGCACAAAGTGCACAAAGGGCACAAAGTGCAAAAAGCGCACAAAACGCACAAAGTGCACAAAGTGCACAAAGCGCACAAAGCGCACAAAGTGCACAAAGCGCACAAAGCGCACAAAGCGCACAAAGCGCACAAAGTGCACAAAGTGCACAAAGTGCACAAAGTGCACAAAGTGCACAAAGCGCACAAAGCGCACAAAGCGCACAAATCGCACAAAGTGCACAAAGTGCACAAAGCGCACAAAGTGCACAAAGTGCACAAAGGGCACAAAGTGCACAAAGCGCACAAAGCGCACAAAGTGCACAAAGTGCACAAAGTGCACAAAGTGCACAAAGTGCACAAAGTGCACAAAGTGCACAAAGCGCACAAAGCGCACAAAGCGCACAAAGCGCACAAAGTGCACAAAGTGCACAAAGTGCACAAAGGGCACAAAGTGCACAAAGTGCACAAAGGGCACAAAGCGCACAAAGCGCACAAAGCGCACAAAGCAAAGTGCACAAAGTGCACAAAGTGCACAAAGTGCACAAAGCGCACGAAGTGCACAAAGTGCACAAAGTGCACAAAGTGCACAAAGTGCACAAAGTGCACAAAGTGCAGTGCACAAAGCGCACAAAGTGCACAAAGCGCACAAAGTGCACAAAGTGCACAAAGCGCACAAAGTGCACAAAGCGCACAAAGTGCACAAAGCGCACGAAGTGCACAAAGCGCACGAAGTGCACAAAGCGCACGCACAAAGCGCACAAAGTGCACAAAGTGCACAAAAGTGCACAAAGTGCACAAAGCGCACAAAGTGCACAAAGCGCACAAAGCGCACAAAGTGCACAAAGTGCACAAAGCGCACAAAGCGCACAAAGCGCACAAAGTGCACAAAGTGCACAAAGTGCACAAAGCGCACAAAGTGCACAAAGCGCACAAAGTGCACAAAGCGCACAAAGTGCACAAAGCGCACAAAGCACAAAGCGCACAAAGTGCAAAAAGCGCACAAAACGCACAAAGTGCACAAAGTGCACAAAGCGCACAAAGCGCACAAAGTGCACAAAGCGCACAAAGCGCACAAAGCGCACAAAGCGCACAAAGTGCACAAAGTGCACAAAGTGCACAAAGTGCACAAAGTGCACAAAGCGCACAAAGCGCACAAAGCGCACAAATCGCACAAAGTGCACAAAGTGCACAAAGCGCACAAAGTGCACAAAGTGCACAAAGGGCACAAAGTGCACAAAGCGCACAAAGCGCACAAAGTGCACAAAGTGCACAAAGTGCACAAAGTGCACAAAGTGCACAAAGTGCACAAAGTGCACAAAGCGCACAAAGCGCACAAAGCGCACAAAGCGCACAAAGTGCACAAAGTGCACAAAGTGCACAAAGGGCACAAAGTGCACAAAGTGCACAAAGTGCACAAAGTGCACAAAGCACAAAGTGCACAAAGCGCACAAAGCGCACAAAGCACAAAGTGCACAAAGTGCACAAAGTGCACAAAGTGCACAAAGCGCACGAAGTGCACAAAGTGCACAAAGCGCACAAAGTGCACAAAGTGCACAAAGTGCACAAAGTGCACAAAGTGCACAAAGCGCACAAAGTGCACAAAGTGCACAAAGTGCACAAAGCGCACAAAGTGCACAAAGTGCACAAAGTGCACAAAGTGCACAAAGCGCACAAAGTGCACAAAGCGCACAAAGTGCACAAAGCGCACAAAGTGCACAAAGCGCACAAAGTGCACAAAGCGCACAAAGTGCACAAAGTGCACAAAGTGCACAAAGTGCACAAAGGGCACAAAGTGCACAAAGCGCACAAAGCGCACAAAGCGCACAAAGCGCACAAAGCGCACAAAGTGCACAAAGTGCACAAAGTGCACAAAGCGCACGAAGTGCACAAAGCGCACGAAGTGCACAAAGTGCACAAAGTGCACAAAGTGCACAAAGTGCACAAAGCGCACAAAGTGCACAAAGTGCACAAAGTGCACAAAGAGCACAAAGTGAACAAAGTGCACAAAGTGCACAAAGCGCACAAAGTGCACAAAGCGCACAAAGTGCACAAAGCGCACAAAGTGCACAAAGCGCACAAAGTGCACAAAGTGCACAGAGCGCACGAAGTGCACAGAGCGCACGAAGTGCACAAAGCGCACAAAGCGCACAAAGTGCACAAAGTGCACAAAGCGCACAAAGTGCACAAAGTGCACAAAGCGCACAAAGTGCACAAAGTGCACAAAGCGCACGAAGCACACAAAGTGCACAAAGCGCACAAAGCGCTCAAAGTGCACAAAGTGCACAAAGCGCACCAATACATCAGCCGCAGAGTGACAGACACCCGGGCCTCATTGAGCTTGCTAGTGGCTGCTGGACTTGCCAGGCTGGACTGGACTTCACGGTGGGCTGCTTGACCTCGGAATCTCGGAGCTTGCAGCAAGTTGCAAAGCTAGGAAAACCAAGAAATTTCCTGACCTCAATCGTTGTGAAAGCTAGGATGTGGACTGACTGCAAGAAATTCCTTCATTCAGTTCAGCCATTCAAATGACAAAGTGTTGCAAGAAATCGCTGTGCCTTGCGAGCTGCAAGTTGAACATCACTCAGGTGACGAAATCTATCTCTGTTCTCCTCAACTGCCTGAGGTTCCACTCCACCGCAATACAACGTGGTGATATTGACCCTTATCAGGTGCCTTGATGCTTCTGTCCACCTGAGGGAGACAACATGAGTGGAGTGAGTGAAGACAGTCTCAAGCAGTCCACCTCAGCAAGATCAGAGGACAGCTGAGACAATTCAGCCGAGAGTTCCTGCTGGAGGTCCTGCGCAGAAGATGGCCTGTCTTGTCCAGTCTCCTGCCTCTCTCTGCACATGTTGAATGCTTGGAACATGCCCCAGCCATACTATGCTTTGACTACAGCCTGAAATTTGCGGCTCTCCGCGGTATTCTCTGCTTGCAGCAGCCTTTGCCACCTGAGTCTCGAAGCTGACAACCTGCCGAGAATTGGAGCCACTCCCAAGTCGCTGCCTGACTGGAGCTAAGCTTCTGACTCTCTCTGCATGGTTCGCACCTATGACGTGGTGGCTTGGTGGCTTGGGCTCAAGCAGATGATGCGAACTGCATACGGTCCGGATACAAAGAAAGATATCATGGCAACATGTACGCCGCTTGTGCATGTCGGAAACAACCGAAAATAGTCTTATGACCAGACGGGCTCAGACAGCAGACGTTTCAGCGGAACGAAAAAAGACTCAAAAACAACTCAGAATTCACTTAGCCAAACACTCAACCGTTATGAAAACCAATCTAGCTTGATTGAGCGCATATAATGCAGCTTGACTTTCAAAAATGCATATTTGGGAATGCTACATATTTTATGGTCTGGTCTGGTCATACGTAAAAATGCCCCTGGCTCGGCAAGAGGATGGCGATGCACTAGTGGCTCCAGCTACTAGCCACCACTTGTCTAGCGGAAGTTCTGATTGCGCCCAAAGCTTTTGCAAAATTCGACACTCCTGGTGTCAGCCCTGGTTGTGAGACACCCAACCTCAATCTACTTCCCGTTGATTGACTCGTATTGATTGAAGCGTGATTTTCAATTGCACTTTGTTGCCATTGAGTCAACTGAAAGAGAAAAACAACGAAAACTCAGAAGAAGGAAAAAAAAGGAGACAAAAAAAGGAACGACTCACAAAGAAAAAACTGAAACAACTCAGCCTTCGACTCAGAAGGAAAAACAAAAACTCAGCCTTGAACTCGATCCCCCCACTTGAGTTTGGCTGAGTCGGCAGCTGAGCTTCTTTCTGAGTTGTTTTGAGTTTTTGTCTGAGTTTGCTTTGAGTCTTTTTTGAGTTGTGGTTGCTTTTTCTTGGGGAAAACTGCAGATTTCCTCCTCAACCAACCCCCTCAAACCAAAAAGAACTCAACAACAAAAAAACTCAGAAAACAAAAAATCCAAGAAAAAAATCGGGGTGGGGGGGGGGGAACTCAGCTCCCTACTCAGCTTCAAACTAAAGCGGGCGGATCGAGTTCAAGGCAGAGTTGTTTCTGAGTTGTTCTGAGCGTTTCCTGAGTCTTCCCAGGTTGGGAGTTGTCCAGATTGGTTTTTTGTTGAGTTGCTTTGTTGTTTATGCAAATTCGTGGACTTGCGGCCTGTGCGGGCGAGATCAGGTCATAATAATAGTCCACCAACCCAAGCAGTCTTCCTCAAACAAAAACAGGATGGCAAGAATACTGAGAAAAGGCCCGCTGGCATTCAATCGTCTAATTCAGCACCTGCTCTCTGCGCGTCACCCACAGTGAGCTGTGCCCCACTTTGCCTTGTGGATGGAAGCTTCAACTTCATCGCGGGCCTTGAGCATGCGGAATACGCAGATGGAAATCTCGGGGTCTGGACAGACTCTCGATGACTGCGCTTCTTGGGCACAGGCCACATCAAATGGATCAGTTGAGCCAGAGAGCATTTTGTTCTGTGTACAAGTACTTGTCGTGGCTTGAATCGTGTCATGGCCTGCAACAAGCCTAGAAACAAGAGTGCTTTCCAAGTGGGCGTGCTCTTCTGCTGCGGCTGCTTCGCCTCTGTCCTGCTTTTGAACTGCTGAATACGCTTCAACCACTAGTTAAGACCTCATTTTGGGTACATAGCCACAGATGCACGCGTGGAAGAGTTGATCAAGCGTGGATTGTCTTGTAAAGAAGCCTTGAGCAAACGACAATAGCTTGCTTCACCAAATCCCCTCGCAGTTGGTGCGCCACTTTGACAAGAGACGGTTTGTGCCAGACAAGCCTCAAACAGTAGGGCTGCCTGCCTTTGAGAGGGAGCCAAAAATGTATGTTCTTTTGCAGAAAGACTTGTTCCTTAATCTGCAAAGTAAGCAAGACAAAGTATGTGCGTACATCAATCTCATGAAGCTGGGTTGGCATGCGAGGCACCATACAGCATGCTTTCTTGGTCAATGCACGCTTCAGCAAGCGCAAGCAGTCATAGTGGCGAAACACGCCAGACTGCGCAAATGGAGTGCGAGCATGCCATTCTGGCACCCAACATTCCCTAAGTGAAGTGACTAGATTAATCTCAAGCGTCCTCCTACTTCAACGAGGCCCTCAGTGGATGAAGGCTGCAACGCGGGGAAGGTGGCAGGTCAAGGTGTTGTGGGAGCTCTGTCACGCAAGACTTCAGGGCATGACTCGCTCTGTGACTTCCATCGCAGCGTGGATCTTGAATGTGTGCCGACAGACTTTGGCCTGGTCACATTGGGGTAATGCAAGGAACAGTTGCAGCCAGCTCCAACGCCAGGCCCTGAGTTTGGCGCTTGATGCCAAAGCTAGACAGGCCTGCTTTGCCAGCTAGTTTGCATTGCTCTGATATACTTCATAGCGACCAAGCCCTGAGAGACACACCTGATTTCAGCCCCATGCGCTCCCGTTTGGACAGGAACACCTGCCTGGGGGCAACATGCCAATTTGCGCCAAAAAATCCTCCGTGCGGAAGGCTGCTTAGCTGCGGGCGCTCCCGTCCCATCTATCCTCCAGTTCACGCGTGGCATCCTGCCTTCAGACAGCAGGACTACGCCAACACCTTGTAAACTGCTAGCTAGTGTAAAACTAAATGGAAGATTGGTTTGCACTTTTGCACTTCGCCAATTGCCTTCGTAGGTGGCGAAGTTGCACGCACTGTGCTCAAGGTCCTGGAAATGATGCATGAAACTACCCTCTCGAAGGCAAGCGTCTCACGCTCGCACTTTGTGCGGCTCCTTTCGCCCCTCCACTGAAGGGATAGCAGGTCCAAAACGTTCTGATCGCAATACAGCGCTTCCAACCTTTCACAGCTCTCTCTCTCTCTCTCTCAGCGCTGTGCAATATTCGCACACTCACATGCCATCCTTGAACCTGTTGCCACGCACTGGATGTCCATCCGGCATGACCTCCGCCAAGTCACTCTTGAAAAGGAAATGCCGGAAAGCAAAAAGAAAGAGAAGCGAATTGAAGCAAAGAGAAGCCTCTGGGAAATGTTCAGGGCCTTTGGCGCAGAAGCCGGGCCTGGTACGAAATCGATGCACGGCATGCTTCGTGAAATGAGCTCTATACTCTTACTACTTTTGCTTGTGGCATGCGCGCAAATTCCACCCATGTCGATATTGATGTCTATTCCATCGTACAGGTTTGCCTGGGGCTCCAACCCGTGCTCTTTAGAAAACATCTCGGCGTCCTAAGTGAACAAACAAGTCTGATAGCCTCGCTTTAAAGGGCCTTGGTCGATGACAAAGCCAGGAATTTCATCAGGATGCCGCCTCAATGATCAATCGGGAGATGCTTACCCTCCACTATTTTACTCTCATGCTGAGTTCAAAGCAAAAGGTCTGAACGGCCCGTGCAAAGCCGCGGAAATGAGTAGAAGCCAGCAGAGGACGATATATGCTCTGCCTCGATTGCAACAAACAAAAGCATTCTAGAAGTTCTGCACACCAACCTCTGGAAGCTGTAGATGTGTAGAAGCAAGGCAAACACTTCGCCTTGGTCATTCATGCCATGATACGTGCAAGATGCCTCACGACTGAGGAGCCCGCTCATGCCTGCCTGGCGGCTGAATTGGAGAGCGCTGCTTCCTTTCGACAACCTATCGAGCTACAACGTCTCTATGCTGTCAGAACACAAAGCTGGGAAAGCCCAGTGTGAGGCATCGCATGCGCTTGGCAGAACTGGCCTGATCGCGCTTTGTCTTTGATGCCACAGCTTCATCCTTGACTACAAAGCTTCTCGGCGACACAAAAAAAGAAACAAATCAACGAAGCAAGCAAGCAAGCAAGCAAGCAAAGCAAAGCAAAGCAAAGCAAGGCAAGGCAAGGCAAGGCAAGGCAAGGCAAAGCAAGGCCAAAGCAGGCATGCAAGCAAGGCAAGGCCAAAGCAGGCAAGCAAACAAGCAAGCAAACAAGCAAGCAAGCAGCCCGAAGAAAACAACAGCCAGGCAAAGCAAAGTCAGCAAGGCCAAAGCAGGCGTGCAAGCAAGGCAGCCCGAAGTAAAGAAACGAAAAGCAAAGTCAAGGCCAAAGCAAGCACGCAAGTAAGGTAGCCCGAAGCCAAAGAACAGAAAAGCAATGCAAAGTCAAAGCAAGGCCAAAGCAAGCAAAGCAAACAAGCAAACTATGGCTGCACGGCTGGAACTTGAGGCAACTGGGGTCCTCGGTGACATTCAAAACCAGAAGCACTTTGAACTCCTGGATGGAGATGTGACCATTGTTGTTCCTGTCCAGCTCCTGCCGAATGCGACACCCTGCAAGTTTGGCAAGCAATGCGGCAGTCTCCTTGAAGACAGCTCTGGCATTGCCCATGAAGCGCAAAGCTTTGGCCTCTTCAGCATCAAATGCAGCGGCTAGATGGCGTGTGAACCAAGCTTTGAAGAGCGCCAACAAACCATACTGCTGAATACAACCCTAGAGCAAGCACACAGAGATGCGCTCAGAAGTCCTGGTGAAGCCAAGATTAAACCTTGGGCTCACCTCTGTGATCAGATTTGGACGGATCTGGACAGCGCTGGGCCACTGCTGTCAAATATCAGCTCTGGATAGCTCCGTAACAGCTCCATACATCTCCGAACAGCTCTGAACAGCTCTGAACAGCACGTGTCCAAATCTGAGGCCAATTCTACTCACTTGCAGTCACTGCTCTGTCCGGGTGAATGCGCTGAGTCCCAAACTCCAGAGACGAACTCTGTCATTCCCAGCTGGTTGTTCCTATTGCCATCGAAGTGGTGGTACGCCTTGGTATGAAGTCTTCTGAGTCTATTGGCTTGCAAAAAACAGCTGGCCTCTTCAAGGGTGCCAAATCTTTTTGCCAGCAAGGCTGCGAAGGCGCCTGGAAGCCAGCAATTGAATGTCTGGGACTACAGCGCCACATGTTACACGTGTTCCAACAAAGGCTGCGACGCATGTCGGAGTAGACGTGTTCCGCGAAGTGCGCCTGAGCAAAAATGGACAATCAATCTTGACAGCTTGACATGGTGCTCTGGGCTGGCCTTGCCATCTTTTTTTTGGGCTGGGCCCACCTGAACCGTGCGAACCGTGCAGCCAGAATATGTGTATGCTTGCTGATGCGCCTGCAGGAACTTTGGGGACATCCAGGCTCTTGCAGTGCCCTAGGAATATGTCTTCACTGTTGCCAATGTTGCCAATGTTGCCAAGGAAGCAATGGCAATGGAAGGCGCCTTGCCCTCATTGCCCTCACATTCTTTCCGCCTCAGAAACCAAGTGTGCCCATGGCCCACAAGAGCGTCATCTCTCCCACACTGAGAACATATTGCAATTGCAGCAATTGCGTGCTTTCGTTCCTGGCTGTTTCTGCTCCGAATTCTAATTAGGGACACCCGGGACACCCCTGCTCGATGCATCCCTCTTCACCTCTGCTCACTAGCAAATCAGCGCACGTGATGAGTGGTGTGCTTCTCAGAGCACAACAGTGCATCAAATGTGAAAGGCCTTGACATGAGAGGATACACGCCAAGCAAAAGGCCACCGCGCACAAAACAAGCTAGTTAGTGCTGCACGTGTCAATCGAGCAATCACGTGTGCACTTACAATGCATTGCTCGACACATGGTTGAAGGAATTAGCTGTCAGAGCCTTGTCAACCTACATGACGCTCATAGACCATCACAGCCTTGCTTGTACGACTGAGCATCTGTTCCAGAAGGCCTTTCGCTACAAGGCAGCTTTCTGCCAGCGCCTGATCTGCTCCGAAGATGTTTGCACTAAGAGAAATGGATCCTCATCACTGTTAGACTCCGAAAACAAGGCTTGCTTCCTTACACGCATATGGTGTCCCAAAGCAAGCTAAGCTGGACTCTTTGCACATGCTTGTCCAGTAAGTAGACATCCTTAACTGTTTGGCGCATTCTACGCGGGCGCCGGACTACGGTGCATTGTTTCATTGCCTTGCCAACTTCAAGGAACCCATATTGACTGTACAATCCTTGTGCTCATCCCAACAACCAACAATGGCGCAGCCACTCTGATACAAATTGCCTCACTAAACGCCAAAGCTCACTAGGAGTCACTAGGAGTCACTAGGAAGTACCAGCTGATGCTCGTTTACGCCTGATCCACTCACAACGCCCACATCAAAGTCTGCGTCTGCAATTTATCAGAAGCAAGCCAGCTTGAGGATTTGTGTTCTGGTCTTGCATTTGCCAGCAGATCTCCCCTTAGATCTCCCCTTTCCCTAGTACTATGACGTGTCCGCTAACAACCTATCTCTCGCATAAGCATCCATGAGCACATGCGATCGCTTACTTCAATCGGGAACTGTGCACGAGAAGAACCTGAGCGCCATGCCCAGGCTTGACATTTGTCAGGTCGGCAAAGCTTTTCAAGCCATCCCGATCCTAGCCGTGGAGTGAGGCATAGTTGCCTCTTGCGGCCAACTGAGCCCAAGTTTCGAAAGTGGCTGGGCCCAGCCAGGAGTGTGTACATGAAACCTCCCATTTACATATGGCTCAAGAAGAAGCTGCGCGGCTGGCACATAGCGAAGAGAGAATTTGCGAAAGCCAACTTTTGCAAATTAGCGTGCAAATTACGGCGTACAAATTGTGCGTTGCCATGTCGGGTTGGCAACGCTTGCTTCGCGGGATACCCGCTATTTAATGCAAGCTCAATGACGTGTTTGGGGGTTGGGTGTGCCACCAAGCGCTGGAAGCCGCTATAATATGGAATGTGTCACTATTTTTAGAACAAGAGCAACATACGGAATGCATGCTGCTTCAGCGCACACCCACTGTCCTTGTCCATAGCTTTGAAGGATCAAGATGCGGTCACATGCAAAGCACCGTGCCTCGGAAAGAGCATGCTCATATGACACTCTGATGAACGGCTCAGAAGCAGCATCGTTTCACTCTCAGGGCCTGGCAACTTTGGCCACTGCCAGCTTAGCTGGAAGTTGGAAGCTACTGCTACACATGCATGCCTGTAAGGGCTGTCATATTTGAGGGTACAAAGCAGTTCGTCTGAAACAATAGGGCAACGCTGAAGGCACAAGCTTGTGAAGAGTGCTGAGCACTACACTTCCTGCAATGGGTGGGCACTGAGTTTGGGCGCAACTGATTTGCAAGGGCGCTAGCAGCTGCAAGGTTCGATCCATGATCGCCGACTACTTAATGGAGTGCTTCATTCCACAGAGACCTGTAACATGGGTGATGCAAAACATTTTGGTCTATTGTGGTCACTCTTTGCAAACTGATCCTGCATGTTTCCGTCACTGCTCACAGTATCTTTGCTCACGAGTCGCCTTCACCAGCAACCTGCAAAATGAAACGTACTGGATACAAGAAGGGCTTGTCCCTCAATTTGGCACAGCACCGTGAAAACTGGTGAGCATCTGTTCGTGAAAAACACGCTGGCGTTGTACTAGTCGGGAGCCTGGTTAGTTGAGGATTCGGACGAAATTGAAAACATGCATAAGTCAAAACCAGCTCTCAGGTTGGCTCGCGCACCTTTTGGAGCTGGTCTTCAGCTCAGCTCCGCTGTGAAGACTTTGTACACAAGCGAAAGTGTTGAAGGCGTCCTCGTATGGGCCGCCTATCTAAGCTATCCCCAACCCCCAACCGCTTTGACCGATTTGACTTCTTTGACCACTTTGTCCACCTCCATCTGGTCGCCTCCGAGGCCATGCGCAATGCTGCTAGACTAATCTGCCAGCTGGCAATGCCCAGCACCAATGATTCTGCTCTGCAAATTGCAGCAATTGCACTAGAGGCATCGCTCCCCGCCAAAAAGAACACAAAACATGCATGCTGCATGGCTGTAAAAGCTTCTTGGTTAGCCTCCTGGCTCTTCCTATTAAGCATGTGCCTTTCCTGTGTCCTCTTGCAAACGTCACAAGGCCTGGTCCCGTGGAGCATACTGCTAAGAAACCAGAAGGCAAAACCAAATGGCAGGATGGAGCAAATGCAGTATCATTGCCTGCGCCCAATTGCTCGTGTGCGTTAGATTCCTCACTTTGATCATGATGTCGTGGCTTATGTAGGTGAGTTGTCCGAACAGGATTGCCAAACCTTTCAGAACAAGCATTGGTCTTGTCCCACTCCTAGGCCCCAACCTTGCAAAGAGTAAGTATACCCCGAGGCAATCTGACATGCACAAAACATCGTTAAACCTAGGCTTCAATGTGACTAGTTTGAACGCAATCTCTGCAACCAAACAATATTTTAAATGCTGATTCCTCTGCCCGCAGATATGTTTGGGAGGGCACTGCCTGGTCATGTGCAAGCTGCATCCGGCCCAGTGCAAGTAATGCAGGCAATTTGCTGAGGCAACGGCTCATGCTCCGACAGAACCAAAGATGCTTCTTGGAAAAATTGCAGCAATCCTGCAAATGTCGGTTCGTATAGCCTTCACACATATCACAAAGATTCGCAGCGCCTTCTTCAACAACTTTTGTTCCTGCAACGTCATACCGGGAAAGTCCTTCCTTAATTGAAAATCTGGACACACGCCTTCTTCGTTGAGGGCACCAAGCTCCGCCTGGTCTTTTCGTGCCTGACCGCGCATCGAAGCACTAGACTGTGACTTAACAAAGACTGTGTCTTTCACGACAAGCTAAATTTACGTGTTCACGCCGTGCGAAGTCTAAATGCTTCTGAAAAGGCACTGAACACAACAAACCAGGATCAAGTTCCGCAAACGTTTGGCATCCTGACCCAGCCACCAGCGCCGAGCAAACAACGCCTGCTAGGGACACAACGCTGGAACATCTGAGTGGTGTTGTGTTTCCTGTTAAACTTGAACGGGCATACGGGCCGATTCTATATAAGTGCTGCCGCAGCTCCCATTTCGATTTTGCCCCTATTCAGACAAACCCACATTTCTTCTTTCGGGCTTAAACCTATGTAAGGCTTAAAGTCAGTTGCCTTTTGGGTTCCGGCTTGCAAGATGCTACCTCCAGTACTGCCCATTGGTTGTGCTTTTGGGCCGGGTGCCGGTCAGATTTGGCATCGGCGGGGGGGCAATGCCGAATCTGACCAAACCGCCCACTGTTTGCAACAATACTCCGGGCAGCCAGCGTGATGTCGACAGAACATGATGCCACATCCGGCCGACGCAGCATTCGCTTGATCTTTCCAGAAGTACTAGCAAATCGTGCAACTGAATTCCCTCGCGGAAGCTGCCTTCCGCAATTACTCGCCCACGGAAGGCGACCCAAGAAAGGAAGAGGCTTTCTTTGTGGAGACTCGAGGGGAAGTTACTTGCAAGATTGCCGGCTGGGTGCTAGGGGGCACGCAGTTTGGGTTGCGTGTAGGTGTTGTTTGAGCTACTGGTGATGCGCGGGTGCATTTTATTTGGATTTGACGGCGGGGTGCTAGGGAGATTGACGTCAGGTTGCTAGGTGGCATGCAATCTGGGGATTTTCGTTCAGGTGCCACAGTGCAAAAGCCACTATGAGCGCGACGACCAAAGCGGCAAAATGAGAGAGGCAACTAACAAGGAAAAGCACAACAGAACCAGGCAAAAGGAAACCCCTCGTTTGGCTGGTTGAGAGCCATCAATCTCAGCACCTAAACAAGCACCCCAAAGACCATCCCAAAACAGCACCGTCGCCAGCACCCCAAACTGCATGCCTAGCGCCCTACCGCCAATCTTGCAAAAGTGCGCCCGGAGTGTCACCTGCACATCCCAAAACAGCGCCTGCGCTGGCCAGCAGACAGGGGCTGATGGGAGCCACGCCCAGCAACAGAGGCGGCTGCAGGGAGTACAAGTGCCCGAGGTGCATGGCCCGCTTCACCCTTGAAGGCCTCGTGGCAGCGCCACCGCGCCACCCAGTGCTATCGAGAGATAGCCGAGCGCACTCGGAAAGTGCCGAGCGCGGCGCCACCTTTTTGTTGATACGTCCACCTCTAGGCATTCTTGCTTGAGTGGGAGACAAAAAGTGCCACTTATCTGAAGAAAAGGTGCAAGAGGGGAAAGGCGCCGTCAGGTCTCCCAACCCTCAACACAGCTGGCCCCGCTGTATCGACATCTCCAGTTTTGTAGTATTGTCGTGGAGCGCTCCTCCTGTAAGCCAAAACGCCAGCATAGCAACGTCACCCTGGGTTTCTTTTAGAGTGCCTTGGGTCGTGTCTTGGGCAAACCTCGGTCAAAGGCATCACTTTCACTGGCGGACCTAGACACGTATGAACTCTGTAAAAACTGGAGAGGCATATCATGCTCAACAACAATACTAAATTAAAGTAGAGAAACTTGAATCACCTGTCACTCTTTGTGATAAGAAAGCACGCATTTTGTCAAAGTGGACCCATTTCATACCCAGAACTGATGCAAGTACGGAAAAGACGCAGAAGACATAAGAATGAAAAGCCAAGACAGAGGCAGAGGGAGAAGCATGATAAGGATGCCCTGCAGTTTGGCATTTCAGGCAATTCACGCCCTGAGAACGCAGGCCCAGTCTGCAGGCGGGAAGATCTACGCCGCTAGGTTGGCACACACCATCTTCAGTCTTGAATCAGCCCCACAACATTCTGCTAGGCGCTGACCTGTCAAGATGACGGATGCCAAAATAGCTGGGTCTGTGCAGCAGTGGGCCATTGCCACTTGCAAAATGTTTTCTCTGACAAACGCCAAGTCTCGATCTTGACAGGTTGAGCCTCAAGTGTCTCAAGCAAAAAATCAGAGAGAGGACGGGCCTAAGCATTCTGCGGTTGCAAGCAAGCACCCCGATAGATACCAAATGTTCCCACCAGCTTGAGACAAGGACAATACAGGCGATACCTCGGGATTTGGGTTTGCGCAACGGGCCACACGTCCAAAACACGTACATCAGATCCATGCAATTTTCCAGTTGAAAGGGCTTGCGACGCAGACCGAGTGACTTAGTAGGGTGGGTGGAAGAGTGTATGCGAGAACGCTCGCAAGGCTTGGGGGCTTGGAAACACATGCTACAGCAAGCAGTCCTGCGATGCACAGAGAGCCGGAGGGAACCAGAGAGCTATGACAGAAATGCTTCTGCAAGAGTAGGGCATCGATTCCCTTTAGCTACCATTGCGGTTGTCCTCGAACAGTTGTCTAAAGCGTGGCAAGTTTCTGCTTCTTTGTCAGCAAGATGTTGCATCTTCTCATCTCACTCCACTCTTTCCTGGGAGAACTAGCGACTGGCCTGAATAAGCGCATTGATTTCTTTCCTGATCTGCAGGTTGTCCTGGCAGAACTAGTAACAAATATTGCACGCAAGTTACCACAGCGCCTCCAGAACTTCTTCCAGAAAGGCACCGTCACTGCCGGCTGCTGCACCTAGGTTTCAGAATCAGACTTTTGGCATCTCGTCTCGGGGCCAGTGGCTGATCTATCAATCTAAGGTGGCCACGCACCTGCAACTATGCATATCAAATCAAGCTACCACGCTGCGCAATTTCCTTGGGCCTCCTTCAAGGAGCTCGAGACATCCTTGGCGCTAATGCCGATCTGGTTTGGAGGTTCGTTCCATGCGCAGATTTGTCAACCTCATCGTCCCCGCCAACTGAGCCGGCGACGTGCAATGCTCCGTCAGAGATTTCCACAATCTCATGCAGCCCATTGAAGCGCCTTGGTAAAGCTGACACAGCATGGCTGTCATCACAAAAGATCAAAAAAAGCGGACGCACAGTTTCTTGCAGCTAACACTGCCGCTTCTAATCCTGCGTCAAGAATTGCACAAGAGGCCGGCCAGTACGGTGCTATTCATGCGCAGCAAACACTAGCTAAGTGTATAAGCTACTAAGATGCATAGCTCAATTCATAAATCCGCCGACGTTGCTTGGCGTGTCGGACACTTAAGAGAGGATAGAGGATAACCCCCCCCCCTAAAACCCCCCCCGCCCGACGTCGGCAATTTGATGATGCCGGTGTCGCAAAACAGGGGTCCCAGGCTCGATTCCCCCTGCCGGCTCTTTTGCTGGTTTGGGTTTCCTGCCTCCTTTTGCCGAAAATCTGAGAAAAACTCTGTGCTTTTTGGCGTCCTCTTTGCGAAAACGCTCGAAAAACCGATTTTTTTGCGGGAAACACTGGGGAGCAAAGGGGAAACGCGAGGAAGTGCAAGGAAATGAGGGGAGGAAATAGGAAGTCGACATGACAGGGAAGCAACGGGAAATGAAAGGGAAACCAAGGGGAACTGAAAGGGACATGAAAGGGACAGAAATGAAAACAAGGGGAGTGCAAAGCACAAGGCAACCAATCATACACACACACATACATACATACATTACATTACATTACATTGCATTACATTACATTGCATTGCATTGCATTGCATTACATTACATTACGTGACATGACATTACATTACATTACTTACATACATACATACATTGCACGCATACATACATAACATACATACACACATACATACATACATACATACATACATACATACATGCATACGTACATACATACATACATACATACGTACACAACATACATACATACATACATACATACATACATACATACATACATACATACATACATACATACATACATACATACATACATACATACATACATACATACATACATACATACATACATACATACATACATACATACATACATACATACATACATACATACATACATACATACATACATACATACATACATACACACATACATGCATGCATACATACATACATACATACATACAAACATGCATACATACATGCGTACACATGCTTAGAGTACATTACATTACATTACATACATTACACACATTACATACACTACATACCTTACATACATACCTTACTTACATACCTTACTTACATACATACATACATACATACATACACGCATACATACATACACTACGTACATGCATACATACATACATACATACATGCATACATACATACATACATCACATACACACATACATGCATACATACATACATGCATACATGCTTACAGTACATTACATTACATTATACTACATTACATACATACATACATTGCATACATTACATACGTTACATACATTACATATACTACATACATTACATATTTACATACATACATACATACGCTGGGGTAACCATAGTAAGGAAATAAAACCGCTTCACGGGAAATAAAACCGAGGACCAGCCGGCACTATGAAAAGGCATCAAGGATACAGGCAGACCCAGCAAGAAAATACAAAACAAACATGAGAAATAAAAAGACACGACGGACCGGACGGACCGGGGTGTAATCCCAGCGAAACCGAGACTTGAAACACGTAGATGTTTACCTTTGCTTCAGTCTCCTTCGCCTGAGTACGTCGGAATACTTGTGCTACTTGTGCAGAGTTTCAAGGCAAAAAAACTAAAAAAAATAGCGGGGGGGGGGGACAGGGTTGGGTTGGGTGGCACCCCCCCCCATGATGATTGAAAAAGTGGATCGAACAGTTAGGGGCAAAGAATGTAAAAAATGGCTCTCGCATGATGATTGAAAAAATGATGCTTCAATTAAAGGCGCGGGGAGGGGGGTTGAGGGGGCGGCAGACCCCCCCATGGTGATCGAAAAAAGTGATGATTCAATTAAGGGCAAAAATTCTAAAAAGCCGCGGGGAGGTTGTGGGGGGCGGCAGCCCCCCCGCGCGCGGGGCGAGGGGGGGCCTGCAGCGCCCCCCCCCCGCACGATGATCGAAAAATGATGAGCGGGGGGTTGGGGGGCGGGCTGGGCGGCAGCCGACGACGATCGAAAAAGTGATGGTTCAATTAGGGGCAAACAGAAAAGGGGTGCGGATTTATTTTGGGTTGTTTCTTCGTTTTTTTGTTTTTTTGGTTTTTCGTCCGGGCAAATAAAATGTCGTATTTTACAGCATTTTCTCGCGAAATTGACGCATTTTACACTAGCTGGTCAACATCCCCAGCATCGTTTTCAACATCCCCGCATGTCCGACCAACATCCCTAGCATCACCAACAAATCGTGGGAAACCAAATCCAAAAATGTAGCTGGCGGGTTAACGGGGTGAAAAAATGCTTCAAACAGGAGGGCATCTCAATCCCAGCCAAAAAAAACAATAAAACAGAGCGGGGGGGGTGGCAGCCCCCCCCCCATGATGGTCTGATGATTAGAATAGGGGTGTCATTCGGTCTCTGCAAAAAACATCTAAAAAGTAGCGGGAGGGGGGGGGGGGTTGGGGGGGCAGCAGCCCCCCCCATGATGTTCGAAGAATTGATGATTCAACTAGGGGCGCAATTCATTTAATCTCTGTAGAAAATCTAAAACGTAGCGGGGGGTTTGGGGCTGCCGCCCCGTGATGTCGGAAGAAGTGGTGATTCAAGTAGGGGTGCAATGATTCAAGAAAGGGTGTGATAGAATTTAAAAGGCAGCGGGAGGGTTGTTCGAAGAAATGCATACATACAGACACAGAGTACCCAAAATGTCGTATTTTGCAATATGTTCTCGCGAAATTGGTACTCGAAAAAGTGATGATTCAAACAGGGGTGCAATTCAATCTCTGCCGGGCCAGTAAAGTGTTGTATTTTACAGCATTTTCTCGCGAAATTGACGCATTTTTCGCTAGCCCGTCAACATCCCCAGCATCGTGTTCAACATCCCCCGCATGTCCGACCAACATCCCTAGCATCACCAACAAATCGTGGGAAACCAAATCCAAAAATGTAGCTGGCGGGTTAACGTGGTGAAAAAAATGCTTCAAACAGGAAGGCATCTCAATCCCAGCCAGAAAAAAAATAAAACAGAGCGGGGCTGCCACCCCCCATGATGGTCTGATGATTAGAATAGGGGTGTAATTCGGTCTCTGCAAAAAAACATCTAAAAAGTAGCGGGAGGGGGGGGGGGTTGGGGGGGCGGCAGCCCCCCCATGATGTTCGAAGAATTGATGATTCAACTAGGGGTGCAATTCATTTAATCTCTGTAGAAAATCTAAAACGTAGCGGGGGGTTTGGGGCTGCCGCCCCGTGATGTCGGAAGAAGTGGTGATTCAAGTAGGGGTGCAATGATTCAAGAAAGGGTGTGATAGAATTTAAAAGGCAGCGGGAGGGTTGTTCGAAGAAATGCATACATACAGACAGACATGGACTGCACAGATTACCTAAAATGTCGTATTTTGCAATGTTCTCGCGAAATTGGTACTCGAAAAAGTGATGATTCAAACAGGGGTGCAATTCAATCTCTGCCGGGCCAGTAAAGTGTCGTATTTTACAGCATTTTCTCGCGAAATTGAAGCATTTTACGCTAGCCCGTCAACATCCCTAGCATCGTGTTCAACATCCCCCGCATGTCCGACCAACATCCCTAACATCACCAACAAATCGTGTGACGGGGTGAAAGAAATGATGATTCAAGTAGGAGGGCATTTCAATCCCTATGAAAAAAAATAAAATTAAAAGTAGCCCCCCCCATGATGCTTTTTGCAGAAGTGATGAGTTGAATAGCGGTGCAATTCAATGTCTGCAAAAAGTCTAAAAAGTAGCGGGGGGGTTGGGGGGGGGCGGCGGCAGCCCTTCCCCCATGATGTTGGAAGAATTGACGATTCAACTAGGGGTGCAACTAATTAAATATTAAATCTCTGTAACAATTTTTAACACAGCGGGGGGGTTGGGGGGGGCTGCCCCCCCAACGATGTCGGAAGGAGTGATGATTCAAGTAGGGGTGCAATGATTCAAGAAAGGGTGTGATAGAAGCTTCCCCTATGATGTTCGAAGAACTGCATACATACGGACATACATGGACTACACAGATTACCTAAAGTGTCGTATTTTGCAGCATGTTCTCGCGAAATTGGACGCTCGAAAAAGTGATGGTTCAAACAGGGGTGATTCAATCTCTACAAGAAATCTAAAAAGTAAGGGGGGGGAGGCGGCAACCCCCCCATGATGTTTGAAGAAGAGTTGATTCAAATAGGGGTGCAATTACTCTGCAAACAATCTAAACAGTAGCGGGGTTCCCCCCCCATGACGCTCGAAGAAATGATGATTCAAACAGGGTGGTGGTGATGCTGATGATGCGGAAAGCCAAATCCAAAAACCAATAGCCAAAAAGCCCGAAGATGCGAAAAGCCAAAGCCGAAGCCGCGCAAACCAGCGAAAAGATGCAAAAAGGCAAAAACGCTACCTGCCGAAGAGGAATTGGGAATGCAGAGGATGCGAAAAGCCCAAAAGCCACCAAAAGCCGCATAAACCAGCAAAAAACCAAAAAGCCTAGAAGCCCAGAAGCCGAGAACCGAAAAGCCAAAGAAGCCAAGAAGCCAAGAAACAAAAAAGCCAAGAAGCCCAGAAGCCCAGAAGCCGAGAAGCCCAGAAGCCGAGAAGCCAAGAAGCCGAAACGCCAAGAAGCCAAGAAGCCAAGAAGCCCAGAAGCCAAGCAGCCACAAAGCCAAGAAGCCAAAAGCGGAAAAAAAAGAAGAAAAAAACGGGAAAAATCGTAAAATAAATACCACTCCAAAGAAAAGTCTAAAAAGTAGCAGGGAGGAGGTTGGGGGGAAGGGGCCGCAGCGCCATGACGATCGACGTGCAAAGTAGCGGGGGGGGGGGGGGGATTGGGCGGGTTGGGCGGGGGGGGCGCCGGCCAAGCCCCCCCATATATGTTTTTAGGATTTTGG